CTAGGCCTCAAAGCGTTTGAGTGGCTTGTTGTAATGGCCAATGTTTTGGCCATTCTTGACGAGAGATGATGCTAAGGTCTGCACCTGTATCCAGTAGCCCATTAAATTCATGTCCTTGAATATTTAGTTTTAGCTTTGGGTGAGAAACTAAATTTAAAGACAGCATAGGCCAATCTACACCTGTGGAGCCTAATCCCCTGGAACCTCTTTCTATAGTACTACTGGAAAATTTATCATGTAGGCTGAGTATTATTAATAACTGAGCAATTTTATCTCCTGATGAAATTACTGATATACCTCTTGGAGAACTAGCTATAATTTTTATTTCACCTTCATAATCGGGATCAATTACCCTAGGACTTATCATAAGTAATTTTAGAGTAGAAGAATTGTGTCCTAACAATAAGCCTACTGTTCCTTGGGGAAGAGGTCCTTTTACTTCTGTGGGAATAATTTGAACGCCCATCTCAGGAATTAGTGCTGCTCTGGTGGAAGCGCAGATGTTCAACTCTGTGCTCCTTCTGGTTTGTCTGATGAGAGATCTGATGAATAATGTGTTCTGGGCACTACCCTGATGGCATTGCTTGGTTCCTCCAATGCCCGGTATATTTGTGGTCATGGGCCCCGGAGCATTGGGCCCCTTTGTCCCTTTTTTGGAAGTGGAGCCTGATGTTTTTCTCCATGATATCGTGGGTAAACACCTGGTCCTTGTCCGTTTTTTGATAACAGAGTACCCTTTATGGTGGTTTGAGAACGGCATTCATTAGCCCAATGTCTCCCTCTACGGCATCGTAGGCAAATACCTGGTATTCTACCCCTTTGATATCTAGTTTTGTTGAACCCTCCTCCTATGGGGCAATTCCTTTTAAATGTCCTGTTTGTTCACAATTGTAGCATGTTTTTTGCCTGACATCTAAAGCCTGTTGTACTATAGCTGCCAAGACTTGCTCTTGTTCATTAATGTCTCTACATAATTTAATATACGTGTTTAAATCTTCCTGTTTACATGGTCTAATGACCTCTCTGCACCAATGATTTGCTTGCTCGTAAACCAGTTGTTTTATTAATGGCATTACTTGTTCTGTATCTCCAAAAACTCTGGTAGCTGTTTGAATAAGCCTATATACAAATTCAGCATATGATTAATTAGGTCCCTGTATTATCTTAGATAATTGACCTTGTAAATCTTCTTGTCCTTGTAAAGTCTTCCATGCCCTAACTGCATCTGCAGCAATTTGTGAGTATATAGCAGGATCATATCTAATTTGTAGCTGCTGATCCTCATAAGGTACTTTTCCTAACAACATATCTAGAATTCTCTGAGGATAACCGGCTGCTGCACATCGCTTAGCCGTCTCCGTGAAAAATTCCTCATTACCAACCTTCCATAACAAATATTGCCCTCAATTTAGCACAGCTTTACACATACTAGCCCAATCTGCTGGCGTCATGTCCAACTTGGTAATGGATTTGACCATGCTTACAGTGAAGGGTGCTTGGGGAACATAGGTTGTACATCCTCCTCTAACTGCTTCACTGTTTTGAAATCTAAAGCACAGTGAATTTGCTGCCCTCCTGCCTGCTCAAGTACAGGGCATGCTAATCTTTGAGGTCCTGTCTCAGGATCCCATCTATCAACTACGGGAGTAGGGGGCCCCCTAGCTTATGTTGTCTCTATAGGTGGAGCTGTTGGTTTGACATTTATGCCCTCTGGTGATAGAAAGGTGTTAGTAGCAGCCTCCTGTTGTAACTTTTCCTCTGATAGTTCTTCCTCCTTTAAATTTTCTTCCTCTGTCTGACTAGCTTGAGAGACCTTCTCTTTTACTTGATCTTTTACTATAGTCTGAACTGAAGGCTTTGGACTAGGCAAACAAAATCGTAACAACGTCCATAATGGTAATGTGCCAACTGGCAGAGTTCCTGGGTTTTTCTTTTCCTTTTCCCTTAAATCTTCACCATGATGGTCCCATTGTGATATATTCAACAACTCCTCCTTAAAAGCTATGGGCTACATTTTTGTATTGTATCAATGTGTGCCCTGACATTTTTTGGTTTTACTGGGATGTCTCCTTTCTCTAACAATTTACTTAACATTCTTTCAGTTTGATTTTTGCTAATTTCTGACCCCATTTTTCTGTTACAAGGATAACGCAACTCAACCAGATAACTCAACAAAAACAAAGCAAAATGAAACAAAAATGGAACAAAAAAATCGTTGTATCAATTTTCCTATTTTCTTGAAATGTATAGTCGTGGTCTATCTCTATCTCTTCCTCAGGGCCGAACAACTTCAAACCTAGAGCCAACCATTTTTCCCAGTTTGCCTGAGAAAGTTCTAGGAATAAGCAGCTTGAAACAAAAACAAAACAAATAAAATCAAGAACACATTGTTTTTTGAAATGGTCACCCATTCTCTCGCCTTCCCTCAGGGGTGAGCAATTTCACTTACCTCCCAGCTTCAGGCGTTCCCCATATGTGCCACCAAATACTGCAGTCTGGCTGGGCACAAATCATGAGGCACTCAAGCAGAAACAAACTTTATTTCCGAACTCCCACAGAACTCCACGCACACTCCCTGTGAACTCTCCCGAATGTTACCCACACGGATCCTCCAAGAACCACCACACACCAACCAGAATTCCCTACACTGGGCTATGCACGCATTCACTCTTGGAATGCTGCAAGAACTCAAAGGAACTTCAAAGTAGCGGGCACCCGAGGCAGCAAGAGCCGCCCTATTACTGGTGTAAAGGTCTAATATACAATTGAATCAATTCAGCATCATCTTAAGGGCTTACCTCTCAACCATTACTTCTGGCAAAATGCCAGGGGCCATTCCGACTCAGCTGTGGCTCTCAACAATCCATATTTATTTTGGACTATTTTCCCTATTCTAGGTCTTCTCCTCATCCATAGGAATTTTGGACTATTTTCCCTGGTACTGTGAAAAATGTCATTGTCATTTGATAGAGATGGTATTGAACCTGTAGATGACTTTGGGTCCTATTGACCAAAGAACTTCATTATATGAGTTTAGGCATATTGTTAAACTTATCATTTCATAAATATTGGTTGACTCTGTTTGTCTCACATCTGTGTTTCCCTCCTACCTTTGTGGAAAACAGACTCACAACTAATGACAAGAGAAGGTTCCACATAAATATTAGCATGTGAATGTGGCTGCTCTGGAATGGAAAGTCTGCCTGACTCATTGTGGTGTTCTCACAAATGTCGATGGGAAGTGAGGTCACATTCACCCACTGTCTTTCCCTGTCCCATATCTCCCTCTACTTTCCTTCCCCTTTGTCTACTCCACTGATCAGCAGGGCCACCAAGAGACACAAAAGGCCTCCATCACCAGGAGCGCCTCTGTGCCTCCTCCCTCTGATCCATCTTCAGTGAACATGTGGAGTGAGCACAATGCATCCCAGGAGTGCAGAGGGTCTTGGCGAGACCCTCATAGTCAGAAGTGAGCATTCCAAACTCATGGGCTCTGGGTTCCAATTTAGGACAAGGGCAAAGCAATTTTTCCCCTAATTAAAACCAGAACAGTTTGTATGTCATTAAGACTAGGGAAGGTCAAAAGCATGAGCAATGGAAAGGCCATAAAAAGCAATGACTTTATAGAAGCCTCAGATTATTTTCAATTTTATTTATTCATTGGTTTAAAATGCATTTAAAGGTTTAGAAAATATAAAAAGAGAAAAATGATTTCTTGATGCACTTTCATAAGGCTTCTCTCTCCCAAATGAGAAACTAGTCTTTCAAGTTCTTTTCATAGAATTTGCAGGGAAATGGATGGCATTAGAGCAGATTATGCTAAGTGAAGCTATCCAAGCCCTAAAAAACAAATGTCAAATGTCTTCTTTGATATAAAGAGAGCCACTAAGAATAGAACAGGAAGGAAGAGCATGAGGAAAAGACTAACAGTAAACTAAGACGAATGGGGGGAGAGAAAGGAAGAGAGAAGGGAAAACATATGGAAATGGTAGGAGACCTTCAGTGATACACAAAATTATAAGAGGTTATGAGGGGCAAGGGGGTGGGGGGAAAAAAGGGGAGAGAATTGAACAACAGCAGAGGAGGTAGAGAGGGAAGATGGGAAGGGAGGGGAGGGGAGGGGAGATAGTAGGGGATAGGAAAGGTAGCAGAATACAACAGACACTAATATGCCATTATGTAAAAATGTGAGTATGTAACAGAAGTAAGTCTGCATTATGTATTTGGGGAGTTAAAAACCCAATTGAGTCAAATGTATGAAAGATGATATATCATGAGCTCTGTAATGTTTTGAACAATCAATAAAAAAAATGGAAAAAAAAAGTTCTTTTGTGTTTTGCAGCTGTTCATATGCAGACACAATCCAGTTAAATGCTTGGTATTCCTTTCTAAAGTACTATTAGTCTCCACTGCTTTTTAATTGTAATATTTCCTACAACCTATTAGTTTGAACCCACCCTTGTTCTTAACAAGTTCAATAAAATTCCACTTTGTAGGATGAAAATTTATAAATACTTTAAATAACAACAATGGCCCAGTTATCGAATACTCAAGTTTGTTTATTAATTAAAACTGTAATATAAAATATTTTTATTCTGTGTATCTTATGTAAGCAAGCACATCTGGAAGACCAGGCCCTAGAACTGGACTTCTTGGGTCTGGAGATGGATACATAAGTAATCTTGTTGTGATTTTCTGAATTGTTCTTCAGCTTCTCACTAGCAGAAGTGGTGGTATGAAAGAGCCACCTAACATGCAGGAGAACACCAGATTCTTCCTGAAGGGTGGCAGGAAGAACAAAGAGGAGATAGCTGGGTCCCTCCAGCTCCCAGTGACCTCTGTGCATTCAAGACCATCACCGACTTGGAGCCGTGAGAATGCACCTGTGTGACTTCCCTCCTCTTAATGTCTTGCATCACATACAGCAACACAAAACTAACAGGATTTCAAACATACTAAAAGGGTCACTGAAATGGATAATTTCTCAAAGTTTTTCTTTCTTAGTGAGCACGGCAACTTTCAACCAGATATCCATCTCTGTGAATCAGCAGAAATGGGCTAACAATCGCATAACCAATGATGAGAAATTCATGAGCACTTCCAGATACATAATCCTTCAGTAAGGAGAAAACTGAACATAATGAAACACAACAATCTGCCCAATAGAAGAAGAGAAAGCAGAGCATCAAAAGGAAAACACTCTTCGCAGCCTTCACCTCAGGGGGGGTTCTGTGGAGGAGCTTGGAGGTCTGAAGGTGGAGCACGTGCTGGTGGTGCTTGTGGAGGAGGAAGACCATGTGGCCACTGGCCAAGCCCATGACACCCTGGAACACAGCATCTCGAAGGACCATGAGAGCAATAAAAATCGATCTGATTATCCAGTTTTCTGGTATAAAATAGCAGTAGTTGTCACTTTCACTAAATTCTGATGTGTTCAAGCTGTTGGTATTTTTGATGTAAAATGGTAAGTTTGTGCTTATCGAGGAATTGAGAATCCAACAGAAGAGCAACAAGGGAAGGACGTGCCATGCAGACCTGGGCTGCAGCCTCCCCCACCTGGAGGCTCTGGGACTAATGATGATGTCCTGGACCACTGTGAGGAGACTGGTTGTGCAGATGGACAGGCCCCGGGCCACCCTCTCCAGATAAACCACAATCTTACAGCCTATGTCACCTAGAAGTTTTCTCAAACCAAAGCTGGCTATTGTCCTTGGTGTACCTTTGGTAAAAAGCATTAGGATATTTGTTAAAGCCAAGTGGATGAGAATGAGGTGGATAGGTTTCTTCTCACTGCCTCTGAAAACACAAATGTAGCTCACAAGGACAAAGGTGTTCCCAGTAATGCCCAGTCCTGTTAGGAACATGAAGGTTGTTCCCTTCACAAAGTTCAGAACCATTTCTTACTTCTTAGGTGGAAGCATTTGGATGCTTCAGACATGTTTTAGGGAAAAACATCAGAAATGACTCTATTTATCTGCAGAAAGCCTTTCATACATCAGTTCTCTAAAGTGTCATGGCAGTCAGTACACACATCACAGTGCTAGTTTTATAGAAAGAACTATTCTACTCATTTTTTTTTTACTCCGCTTTTCCTCGGCTGTAACCAAAAGACTTGACAAGAACAATTTTAGAGGAGGAAGCCTCATTTGTGGGCACGTGATTTTAGGGACCCAAGTCCACAGAGGACCAACTCCATCCTCAAGGGCCAGAGGTGTGACAGAGCATCATGGCAGATGAATGTGGTACAGAAAATCAGCTGAGAACATGGCACTAGGAAGCAAGAGAGAGACCCCCACACTGGACAAACTGCCCACCCAAGACGCACCCCCAGTTGCCCACTGCCTACAGTCACCCCCCGTTAACCCCAGCAGGGACTAAGGCCCCGACTAGGCCAAGGCTCTCGTGACCCATCACTTCCTCTCTGACTCCCTGCATTGCTCCACACAGGAGCTTGGTGTGACCCTCATTTCTAAACCACAACAGCATTCTCTGTGTGTCTCTTTAATTAATAAAAATATGGGGGAAAATACTATCCTGGGGGCTAGTATTCAAAGTTCTAAGTTTTCAATCCACCTTTTGTTTAAAGTCCACACAAGCAAAACCAGTTCTGCTTCCACATCCCTAATCCCACCCTGTGCTCAACCTCAGGGAGGCTGCCTTCAACCCACTGTTGGCCAAACCTCAACTACTGCCATGTCTCTGTTATCATTCTGTCTGTCCTCATCATCAGTTCTAAAATCCTGGGCTCAGGTCTGTCCTTTCAGCCCTCCCCACCCCCCCCACACACACCTTAGAAAACCCCGATGCTCAGGTCTTTCCCTTCTCTGACCATCGCACCACCCACAGTGCCTCTCCTTCTGCTCAGTATTCCTTTCTGGGTCACATTTTGGGAGTATAATGGTTTCTGGGTTTGCCTTTTGCTTACAAATGTCTCATTTTTGAGAACTGAATTTAGTGATTCTAAACTGTAAGCCCCAACCGACTCTGGGACCTCCTGCTTACAAGTCTGTGGTGGTCCTGGTGATCCTCAAGGTCACGTCACTCTGCACGACCTTTCCAGACAGGATTCTGAGGTTCACTGAATCAGACAAAGACATCAGCATCGAGTGTCCTGTCTGACAAGATCAGATCCTCAGCAGATGCAGCCATGGCTGGTGCCAGAGGAGCCAGGGTGACCCTCTAGGAGGGTCTTGGCAGAGGTCTGAGCTCCCCGTGAGTGACCTCAAGGACCCCTGGGGGAGCCAGCATCCCTTCTGGATGTGTGGATGCTTATGGAGCTGGGTGAGGAGAAGGGGTTCATTAGGGTTGGTGCAGTGGTGAGGTGAGGCACTTCATGGACTAGGCTCCATTAAGGGCCACACTTGGCACAGCAGGAGGGGATCATTACATTGGGAAGAACTCACTCACACAGGGTCACGGTGGCACAGTGCAGCTGCTGCAGATCGGCAGGGGAATGGTTTCTGTGAGATTTGCAGCCTGCTCTGTGTGGCTCCCTGCAAGCCTGGTTAACAACGGGCTGCTTTGCTCTTCACCAGGCCAAGCCGATTTTCAGACTCAGGCATGGATAAAAGGTTGCTCCTTACACCTCTGTTCTCAATCCCTTTTCTCACCAAGGGATTTCTTTCAAACTGTGGGCAACTTCTCCAGAATGAAGGAAACAGGATGTTTGGTCCAATGCATGGGAATTGCATGTTGTTTATACTAACGACACTTTTCTGCAAGCCCTAGTGTGTAGCAGGGAGCCTCTTGATGGGTGAAAAATTACTACTGTGGTCGGTATGTCCCAATGTCCTCGCAGATTTATCAGAACTTCTCCTGTGTATTTTTCATTTGTTTGTCTAGGAGTTCACATGTTTTCTAGCTCTCTCTGCCTTTTCCCAATTTCAAAGCTCTGACTCATGTTTGGGGGCAGATTCAGAGACTTATAATATATGACTTCTCTTTCTTACTGTCCAAAGTGAAGATATCAGACACCTGCCTTCTCTCCCAGGTTGCCTTGGGGAGTGGTGAACTATTTTACAAGGCAGGCCTCACATTCAGACTGACATAAGCCCCACCAGGACCAACAGTCAACCGTTCATGCAGATGAGTGCATGCATCAGACAGGGTTTTCAAAATGAATAAAAAAAATGACTGATTATTGCTGGAAAATAACAGGATAAAAGTAAAGTGAGATATTTCATGTTATAATAACCCCCAGCCTGGCAGAGTTGTAGTGGGTACTCTTTAAAAAGCAAGCATAGTGTTTAATATTAATAGTTTTTGTTTTTGTTTTAAATAATTATTTTTTAGTTATACTTGAACACAATACCTTTGTTTCATTTATTTATTTTATGTGGTGCTGAGGATAGAACCCAGGACGACACACATGTAGGCAAGTGCTCTACCACTGGGCCATAACCCAGCACATAATCTTAATAGTTTCTAATAATTTCTCCATCAAACATGTGTGTAAGTAGTGGAATTGGCTTCCAAGTATGGCATGATATATATTGTAATAGGGATGATTCAAGGATGAATTGAAACAACTCTTTGAAATTACCCAGAAACTTGCTTAAGGAATTATTAACATCAAGAAAAAGACCACAGGGCTCCATCCTGGAAAAAGAGAAATGCATCTAAAAGGAAATGTCAAATTTTAAGAAGGCTAATGCAGTCACAATTCAGGTGAAATTCCAGGCTGAAGGTACAAAACTTTTCATAGAGTCTTGAAAAGATCTGCGCCATTCTGATTTGTTAAATAAAGAAAGATGGTAACCTTCTGCAAATATGCACCCAGAGCTCTCTCGTGGTACCAGATCCTGAACATAAGGACAGAGATGCCTAAGAGTCTCTGGGGGGACATCTGTGTCCTCTGTCTTCAGGTCCTTCCTACAAACAGGCACAGTGAGGCCCTAAGGCTCATGACCCGCTCAGCAACCCCCTTGCTCAGCCACAGAGAGTCAGCTCCGTGCTGCTGCGGAAAGGTCACTTGTGCCTGTGAGGAAACCAGAACCCTCAGGCCACTCACCTGGTGGCTGTGCTGCAGACAGCTCTGCATTGGTCCTTCTGACAAGGGCAGCTCCCCAGGTCCTGTTGTACCTCTGGGTCTGTGGGGCTCTTGCCATATAAACCACCTCCAGGACTCCAGTTGTCACAGGTGACACCTGTCAGAGAGCATCAACCACTCTGAGACCTCAGTCCCTGGAGTAGGGCTTTCTCTCCCTCCACAATTACTGCTTTTGTTTGGCTCAGAAGTAATCCCAGGCTTAATTGGACATAATTATTTTAGTAAAAGTTTGTGCAGTGAGAAAGTGAACAACCAGCCAAGTTTCTGTGTCTGAGGTTCCATTTCTTGGCCTTCCCTTCCCCTTCCCAAAGGCCCACGACTGAATCAGAATGGGGCCAGGGTCTGAGACACAGAGCGTCAGCTCCACTCATATTTAAGGCCTTCTCCACCCACAGGGATGTGGCACCTGATGACCAGCACTGGGGACTCTGCTCTCAGAGAAAGCCCCAACCAGGACCTGGGCAGGACCAAAGTCACCGTCCTACATCTGTGTACGGAGCTCACACTGCTGCCCACTGGCTGCTTTATTCCTCATACGTGAAACAGGAAGTGAGCCTGGACACTCAGAAGGATCCTCCCACCCCTCCTTTAGAAATCAGTCCTAGTGTGAAGCTCAAGGACACCTCCACGGTCATCTACAGACAAGAATGACCCTTGCACATGTTCACTCTGCTTCCGTCCTGGTCCCTGGTGCAAAGGACACCAACATGTTGATCTCAGGGCCGAGCTGAGGTGACAGGAGTGTGGCTTCTCCACCAGGGAGCACAGCACAGGGCTGGGTGGGAGCCAGGGCCCTGGTCACTGTCCCTTCACTCCTGTGTGACCCTGGTCCCTTACCCAGGGTGCACTTGGCACAGAGGAGATCCCCAAACACTTGTGCATTTGGTGGAAGATGAGCCCTTTGAGGAGAGCACTATTTGGGCTCATTTGGATGAGAAGATGTCTCTGGTATGAAAGTAGGAAAATAAATGGTTTACTCCATTCACCTCTGTCCAGGTTTGGGTTCTGAATACCATTTTCTGATACAAAGGAAGAAGAGCGTTTAACACAGAGAAGGTTTCAGGGCTAATTCAGAGAAAGGTAAGATGAGACTGAGCTTCTATTATGTCACAAGGTAAAGAAGGGATCCAAGAGGGACAGGCATGCCTACTAGGGGGCCAGCTTGCAGGGCTCTGCTGGCCAAAGTGAGAAAATCTGAGTCAAACTGAGTAATGACATAAGATGACATCACCTTCCCATGAACCAAGATCACAAAGGTGCACAATGAACATAAGTGAACCAGGGAGAAGGGAAAGCTCTAACTTGCATGGAACACACAAATGATAAATGCAAAAGGAGAGCAGTGAAATTAGAAAATCGCCCTTTGCAACATCCTAACAACAATTTCTCCAGGAAGAGACCATGAGTGCATGCTCAGACCAGTGGGTGAGGGTTTAGGTGTCACGGGAATCAACATGGCCTGGAAGTGTCTCCCCCATGAATTACTCATGCCAAAGAATGAAGAGTCACGTGGCGCTGCACACCAGACAGACACCTGTGGACACAGAGGGTAGCAGCGCAGTGCAGAGAGGACCCTCCAGCAGCACGCAGCCTGGAAAGGTGCGGTCAGTGCTCAGTGCCCTTCTCTACTGCACCTGCCCAGGGCTCTCCTGAGTCTAAGCTCCAGGAAAAGTAGAAGTCCATCGAAAGTGTCCCAACGGGCAGGACACATCAACGTGGGCAGCGAACCTAGATAGGGAGGAATGAAGGGACAAGAGACACGAAGGGTGACAGCAAGACAGGAGTTCTGATCAAGCTGCCAACTTTTATTGTTCACACAGGGGTACTTATGGGCTGGGGATGGGGGAGCTCTCTTATCGGCAGTTGCTGGAA